GCATACTTTTAATGATTAAAAGGTATTTCTTATATTTCTGCGATATATAAGTGAATATATTAAACGTAATTCTACGAACTTAAATCGTTTCATTTAAACCGCTTTAAAATCCCAATCGACGCCTAGTAATCGTGGAGCAAACCAAAGTCTGGTAATAGATGGTCTTCGTTAAAAACTTTCCAATATCTGTTCGTCGGAAAACTGCATACATAGCCGAGGGCAACTCGAGGCCGACATTATGTTAGTGCTCCATTTTGTGGCCACACGCCCTTTTTCGCTAAAAGTGGGCGGTGAACCCAATACCCCTGTGGTGTGCATTGAGTTTCATGACGTCATTAGCGTTAATGGCTGTCCATGTGCATTATGCACAAGTTTAAATATTCATTTTGAATTCATTTTTTGTTTAATGAAAAGTTACACGAGCTGCAAATGAGCAGCGACTTGCATTGGAAATAATGAGCCATAAAGTGTTTGCCATTAAAGTTGCGGGCTCACGATGGTAATGAGGTGATGTGGGTGGTTTTTCGGGGTTTATGTTTGGGCGTGTGGCTTTCTCTTCCCTTTCATCGAATAGTTGAAAGGATTTGGCCCGTTGTCATGGCGGCCTTTGATTCCATTTTGTTAACCAAGTCGAGATAAGGGATTAAGTTCCAGGTGGCTTTTTGCAAGGCTCTCGGTTTCCCACGCTCTTTGGTTCTTATCAGCACTGAACTGCTGGATTTTGGTTAGTCATTAATGAGGTGATGACACGAGTATGTGAGTTCATGAATGGAGGCAAATATCCATGGCGTTGCTGTGGCAGTATCTGATTTCATATTGAATTTAGGGCCAGCGATTGCAATCTGTTGAGCTTGTGGAATTAATTTCAAGTAGGAGGTTGGGGCTTAGAGGGTTTTGGGGTTGATTTCAGTTTAAAGATTTTCCGTTGGCAAGTTTTGATTTAGAAACCTTACAGGGGAAACTGTCTTGGCTTGAATCTATTTTTATTTTACATTTTTTTATAGCATTTAATAAAATTATAATATTAAGCAGTTCATAAAAATATTATCTTTAGTAGTGGGAAAGTAGAAGAAAGAATCATAAAAAGTTTGACATTAAACAGCTCATTGTGCGGACATCAAGTTACTCATCTCTTTCTAAGCTTTCCTCGGTCTTTTATAACCCTTTTAGGTTTAACACGTTTTCCCCGCTAGATGTTGCAGCTGAACATGGGTGCAATACCCCCGCCTTTAAGTCCTCATATGGCCCACTTATATTCTGCACAGAAAACCAACTTGCATGAGCTTAGTCAGCGCTTACACGCAAAAATCGCACACATCAGGCAGTCATGGAATAGCATATATAGCTATATGTATATATTCTCTGTGCATATATGTTTCCTTTTTTTTACAACATTCAACGAGGCATGCAAAATGCCACCGAAATGAAATGCGCAAACAACAGGGGTGGAACAGGAGAGCAACAACTAGTTCGGTCTGACAACGGCTTTAGTTTTAAATTATTCTGCGCAATTTTATTTCGGCCTGGCCATACCTTCCCAAGAGGTGTTAATCAAAGGGGCAGTATGTCCCACATGATAAATGTCCGGACAGGAAAATACATTGCGGGTGGGAGTGGTTAAGTCCCTGGGGCTTCTCCTTCTCTTCATGAGTTTTGTCCATAAAGCTAGGTAATTTTCAAATTTCGTTTTATTTAGGTCATCATAAGGCCAAAATGTAATGGAACCTCTTTGCTATTATTTTCTACAATTATTTCATATTTTTAAAATGAGTAAACGTAAGTATGAGTAGACCTAAATTAAATCTCAGTTTAAAGCTGGATCATTTTCAAATTTCGTTTTATTCAGGTCGAAAATGGTCAAAACGTAATGGAACCGTATTGTTATTATTTTCGTACAATATTTCATATTTCAAAAAAAATAATAAAAAAAGTAGAAAATAATTTATTAGATAATGTCAAACACTAAACTTGATTAAAGGTCTATAATTTTACAGTTAAAAGTTGTATGTTTAATTTAACGTTACATTCTTTGTTATTTTGTGAAAATCAATTTTACCAAATTTCCAAAGAATTTCAAGTTTTAAATTGTTATATTCCACGCCATTTAAATTTTCGTTAAAAACCCTGTCATATTGCTGGCTTTTCAATTGCTCATCGGCAATTGAACTAGTTCCCCAAATCGCACTCGAATGCCCAGCATATTATAAGTTCCGGCTTGGCCTTGTTTTGCGGTTAAGTCCCTATGCCACATGCCCCGAAAAGTATGCCACATTGTTGCCGTTGCAAATATCGCTTTTTGCGCTTTTTTGCTGCCTGCATTTTATGACTCTGCTGCACACGCAGTGTGTGTGTGTGCGAGCGAGAGCGGAATAGAGTAATTGTTACATGCATTCAAGTTGACTTGCTGCGGTTTATCTGCATTCCCACCCCTTTCTCTTTCCCTTTCCCTTTCCCACTGCACATGTACATTGAGAATTTAATGCCACGACAATGCCATATTATTAGTTATCCTTTCCCAGGCCCCTGGAACCCCTTCTTCCCCTTACCGCCCCCTCTGCCACGCCTCCTGTGAAACCGAGTTGTGCATAATAAATTAACCACATGGCCGGTTCGAGTTTTGCTCATTAAAGCGCATTTGTATTTAGTTGTGCATAAAACATTAAGCGAAAATGAGCCAACGTGACCATGTCTCCATGTCCTTCCGAAATGCAAATGTGTGTGTATATTTGCTGGCTGTGCGTGCGTGTGCGTAATTACACATGTATCCTGGCTGCCCACTCGAAACGAATTCAATTCCATTCATATTTATACGACAAAGTGAGAAAGATTACCATCGAACGTGGAACGTGGAATTTGACCCGCTCCTGGGGGATCCCCTGTAATTATGTGATTAAAACGCTCTCGACTCATGGGCCTCGTATTGATTTTAAATTGAATAAACTTGTAATTAAGTGAAACGGCCTCCCACTGCACTCACATCAATGTGGTTTGTGTTTTGGGGCTGGGGAATTGACAGAAATGGAGCAAAATGATTGTTCGGAATTGGCTTGGAATTTAAGGAAGCTCAAATAAGAAATATTTTCTATGTCCGCTACAAGTTAAGTGGCCTACTTAAAGTCAAGCATAGATAATACTTTTGATTAAAGCCAATATGATTACATTTCAATACTGTATAACGAGTTATATTTATATATTTTGTCAATTGTGATAACTGCGATAATATTTAAGTATATTATGTTTTATTCCTTCTAATATTAAGATGGTACGATATTTTGTTAATAAATTTGTATATCCCATGAATTAGAATTTAATTTCATAATCTTTTTTTAAAATCACATAATCAAATATAAATAAATCAAAATTATTATTATTTTTAAACATATATGGCCATCTTTCATACTTCCTTACAAATTGTTCATATAGAACGGTCTCAAATTTAACAATAAAATAACCATAACATATCTTCTATTTATGTATTCCATTCACAGTTACAATAAAGAACCCCTCATGTAGGAAAGGAAGGCCTAAATTGTTATGATAAACTTTATTATTCGAGTCCGAACTCCGACCTTAGAGAGTCACAAATTTGGTTTCTGCTCCGTCACATTGGTTAGGCATTCAGTGGGAAAAACAATTTAAACTTTCATTACAGTCAACACATTTTGTCCTCCTTTTTGGCCCTCACCCACATTTGGCCACTTGGGCGACACTCATTCATAAATGCGAGAGTCTCCATGAAAGTGCGAGTGGGGTAATTTTCCAGCTGCTTCACATCCTTGAGCTCGACTTCTTCCTGGGGTTTTTGGTCGCCTTCTTTTCATACTTCTTTAAAGTCGTTATACCCTTTTGGAAGGGGTGTATGATTTTTAGGAAGTTTTTTTTGGCGAGTGTTATTTTTAGAAATTTAGAATATTTATCTTGTAAAAAATATATTTTAAATAAATATTAATAGTAAACTTACATTTTATTTTAAAGAATTTTAGTTGGTATACGTGGTTCTATTCTCTAATGAAAAAATTACAGTGTACTTATAAGACCAGTAAACTTAAATAGCTTTCTTTCATCATCTCGTGTGAAATTTTCCGAATTTTTGTGGCATCTACTGTAGTTGTAGTGGTGCTGAGTAATTTCCAGCAACATCTGTGGGCAGCCCTCGCGTTTCCGCTTCCTTTACACCCTTCTTCGACTTCCTCTTCCGGTTCTTGCCGCTCGCTCTTATCATTATTGCTCATCAAGCGTTTCTAATGAAGTCGTAAAAATTGAAAACTTTCAAAGCATGTGAGCGTGTCCTTTATCTCCTTGCTGCTTTCTCCTGCCATCAAGCATGCCTTTTTTTGTGGCGTTGCGGCTTATGTGTTTTGCTTTATTGCCTTCTCCTTATTTTGCTGATTTTTTTTGTCCCGCCCGTCATTTTAGCCGGGGTTTTTTTTTATGTCTCTCCCGCCATTAAATGTTTATTTTTCTGCGGTTTTTTCTTCACTTTCTTTTGTATCTTGTTGTATATTTTCCGCATTTGTTGTGCAAACTCATATAATCAGCTTTAAGCTCTCTATGCCTGCAGCTTTATAAGCTGGCACACGCTGGCAAATATTTACAAGCAAACTCGGTTTGTTTGTTCGGTCTCGACCGCTCTCGATTTAATGCTAATTTGGTGTTTCGGTCTCGTAAATAATTACCATTGCCCACGGACAAACATGAGCCCCAGGAATTGTTTAATTTTAGGTTGGCAAACAACTATTATATTTCTCATAGCTACAGGTGTGAATTTGCATTTCAACCATGTCTTGTTTTAATATGTTCATAATTGCAGTTCAAAATGAGAGCAATGGTATGATAAAGTTTTACCAAGTTTATATTAAATTATTTTAATAACTTTTTAAAACTTTACCTATATTTTTGGGTTAATATTTTTTCAAAGAGTCTATTAAATTATGTTTTTTATTTTGCATAAGGAATTTTATAGCTTTTAAATATATCTTGCTCAAGTATGTCACAGAAATGTCACATTTTGGTTGAAAATTTTCTAAAATCATACATTTTGATCAACTAAATTTAAAGTTTCGGAATATAGAAAGATCTTCTCCTTGGTCTTAGAATGGTGTGCCGCTTCAATCCATTTTATATTGGGCCAACGCCGCCCAGCTGCTGCACGGATCTTAAGCCCGAATGCGATTGCCCAACGTGCTCACCAGACACAGGGTATCAGGAGCCTCGACCCGTTCACGAGGAGTGCAACCAGGGTGTGTCGAAAAAGGAGACCAAGGAGAGCAAATGCAATCCACCATGCATAGAGGCACCCAAGAGGGTGAAGAAGGAAAAACACGATGAAGTCTCTAAAAAGAAATACAAAAAAATATGAAATATCAAATATTATAGATTTTATTTTTTTAAGAAAATATAAAAAAATTAAATTATGGTGGATACAAGCGCCAAAACTCCATAAACTTGGCTTGTTAAAATTCAATTACGCAGCTCATATATACACCCCATCAAATCAAAGTCAACCACAAATATTTTTCAAATTGAATTTTCCCACAAGAAAAAGGCAAAAACATGAAGATACGGCCATAAAAACTCAATAAGGGGCAATAAATACGTACATATATAGACGAATATGGCGGAGCAGACTACAAACAATTTGTTCAAGTTAACGTTCTCGCTCCAAAAGAATTTTCCTTCTTCATCTTTATTTTCCCGGTCTGCCCGCTTTTCCACGTCCTTTGGCTCCTTGAGGCTCACTAATTTCATTTACCACCCACTTTCCAAGGAGCTAGAACAGGGAGGAGAGCTTGTAATTGATTTCATTAAATCATTTGCCAAGCGAAGGGGAACGCAAATTGTTAGGCAATAGGAAATTACTGAATTAGAGCCCGTTTTTCACAACTCCTTTTGCAGTTTCACATGAAAAATTAAGCTAGGACAACGTGTCCTACAAGTTCAAGTTTCATGTATAGCATTTGCTTTGCTCATTTTTCGATTTCCTATTTGCATTTTTCTTCTGCATTCGGTCAGTTATTGGCTTGCGGCTACTCAGTCATAAACATTTTTCCTTGCCAATTTCCGTTGCAAAATGCAAAAGCTAAAAATTGATATTCAGGGTTTAGTGCTCTAGATGTTAAGTGATGTTTAGTTTGTACTGGGGAAGTAAATTGATAACCTATTATCCATTCTAAAAAGACTTCAAAATCTATTTACTTTTAAAATGGAATTGAGGGGGTTTTAGTTTATTGGGATTTAAAATCCTTAAATAAGAGCCTAAAAGTATGCAGTAAATAAATATGGTTGTACTTAAGTCATCCTGCTTAATTCGAGACACCTTTGTAGATTTTTTTAAAACTGCTTTAATTTAGGGATAAGAATGAATTTTTGTTCTCCTTTAACCTGCTTAGATTCAGTTTCCTTAAATTTGCGTTCTCTTTTCGTAGCTCATGTGTCACCGACATTGTTATCCTTTCGCTCGGTGGCTTATTCCCGTCGCTTCGCAAATGGAATACGTATTTTTCTTGCCTCGTCTTTGAAATCTCAGCAGCATCTCCGAAAAGCCAAAAGAATCTTCTACTATTTCCTTTCCTCGAAGCACTCGGCATAGCCACTTGGCTCCTCGTCGTCGTCTTGGCTGTTATATATGCATGCCGATGCAAATTCTGGCTGGGCTTCATTTATCACTTTTATGCAAGCCATAACTTTGCGATGCGTCTGGGCCGGACATTGATTTGACTGCCGGATCGGAGGTCTCGGATTCCGGGTTTGATTGCCCCGGATTGATGGCTTCTGCCTCTGTTTGTTCTCCGTTCTCTCGTTGCCCGTTCATTTACATTAATTAGTCTTGTAATTGGCATCAGGTGTCGTTTTTGTTGCCGCCTTTTCCCATTGTCGATCCCTGAACTCGACTTGTATTTACTGGCAATTGCGGCTAACGATTTATTTGCATACAATCATGCAATTCGATTCTGCTTGTGGTGCTGAACTCAAGGGGTTTACCGAGTGTTTGCACTCCAAGTAGCTAATTAGTTGAGCAAATTTTGCATCGCTTGATTGTGAAAGCGGGACCAAAGAGGGAGGTCCAAGGGTTATGGTCTATGGTTTTCCAAGAGCTTTCAATCAATAAATCTGCTTGTAATTGAAACTGCTCCATTTGTAAAAAAATTTAATACAAGTTTAGGTGCTCAAGATGTGGTAAATATATTTTATTTATAATGTTGGAAGACTAATTAACTACTTAAATATAAATGAAGATGTTTAAGAAATAATAGGGGTTTTGTATTCCTTATTCAAGTGTCTAAAACTATGCAATAAAAAATAATACTTGAAACCTTATTAGAAGTGTACATTCCAAATGCCATTATTTCTATTTGTTTAGCAGAGGACAACTGTTGCTTTAGTCCTACCCCCTATTCGGGAAATCGTTTTATTGTCGTCATCTTTTATGCATATGGCAGCCAGCAGAAGATGGAGTATAGGCAAATAAAATAAAATATTAAATGCCACTATAAATTTGCCCGGCTCCAACTATAAATAGCTGTCGAGCCACTTGAAGCAACATTCGCAAATTATGTATACACGCTGGTGGCCTTCGTGGGGCGTTAAGTGGGTGGTGGGTAGTAGTGGGTGGTGCTGCTGCTGTGGCAGCTGTGGTCCGAAACCAAGGACAAACATTTTTGGTAGTGCCTTGTTATTCCTGCTCGTGCGTGTGTTAATGCCAACACGTCGCGCTGTGTTTGCGTCTTCATGCTTTCCAATTAAGTCGGGGAGATAAAACAAAAGCTGGAACAAAGGTGGAAAGCCAGCCGAAAGTGAAGATTCCCCTTCCCTCCCCCCAGCAATTCCGGCTTCGTTTGTTGTCCTTTGCTATTTGTTGCCTGTCAAAACAACTTTAGTTTGGGGCCATCATGCGTGGCGAATTTGTAAGGGGAAAACATAGCTTTTGGGAACATTCCGAGTAGTTAACTTTCGGAGATTGCGAATGCGAAATGGAAATCGATTGAGTGGCAGCCTGTGTTGTGCGGCATTGATACCACATACACACATAATTAAGCAGCTTATGTCAGAGATTGTTAATCATGGCTAAGAATGACTGAAAGGCAGCCAAAGTTTGCCTATAACAGTGACTATAAATTGAGGAAGCTCTCGAAAGCAAATCATAAGTATGAACAACGGAAATGTGTGGTTCTAAACAACGGATATGAAACGATGGGTCATTTTCATATTTTTGACCAGTAAGTACAAATTAAACTACACTAATTAAAAAAAACATTTTATTAAAGGATTTTCCGATATGTTCGATATTTTAGCCTTAAGAACAATAATAATGAGTAAACTTACTCATTTCCTCCCCCATTTATTCATTACTAATAAATCCAGTTCCTCGAGAAAATTCCTTCATTCTCAGAACTTGCAGAATTCCACTGCCAATTATCTCCCGTTTATATACATAAGTGTGTCAGCCTCTCACTTAACTTAATTACGTGAAAAATAATATTTTTCCGCAACCTACGCACTCATTTAATGCCCATTAAATATTAATGAATTTTGTTGATAGGGGAGAATATGGTTTTTCATGAGATTTTTTTCGATTGATGAGTTTTTGTCCTTGGGGATTCGATGATGTTAAACAGACCAAAGTGAAAAGTAATTGGTGTACTTAAAAATTAAGTACTTGAACCAATGTAACAACTGTTTTTCTTCCAACAACATCTTCGCCAGACAAATAAAAGTTCAATCAATCATGAAGAGCAGAATAAAACCGTCTTATTGTAATTTGACTTCTGATGGGCCATCCACAATAAGCAAATAAAAGAACCAAATTAAGCTAAGCGGATTTAGATATCGATTACATAATCGCACACATACATACATAAAGAAAGTGAAAGAGAAATTCAGTAAGAGGCAGACACAAATTTTGTTGCCGCTAACTTTTTAGGCAAATTTTAATTTTATGCTGATTTAATGCTAAAGCAAAGTTTCATACAGCCTTAGAAATTATGAATAGTTTATATTCCCAAGAATACGTACTATTCACTACTGCCTAGTTATATATATATATATATGCTCTACTGATATTTCAAGCTTAGTCTTTTTATACTTTAAGAGAATTTCGTGGTCGCATATTTAATTTCTGCGAAATTCTCACAGTGTCCTGATGTCAAGAAAGCTGACTTAGTAATCCGCTTACGTGTGCAAATTTGGTGCGAACATTGAATAATCACTCACGCCGACAACAGCCAACAATAATAAATAAGTCATTTGCATTATTTTCCTGGATGAAAGGGAGAGATTAGGAAGAGTCCTGTTTATTTTGAAGAATAAAAGGAAGTAGGCAGGCGAAGAGATTGAATAAAGTAATTGATTGGTAAAATGAAAACTTTTCTTTAATTTAATTTGTTAGGGTTATTTATGTGTTGCAGCATAGAATTGTTTCCAAATTATGATTTTTAATTTTTTGTAATTTTAATTTAAAAAACTAAAACTTTTTTTGACCTTTAAACTTTTTGTTGTTCATCCTACCTACCACAACAACACTTATCGTCTTCATGCACTCGACTTCCTAACGTGTTGTTAATTATGTTTCCTGCGACAGTCTGGAAACGACAGCCTCATTACTTAGGCCGGACCATGTGCATAAGGTAAACAGCATAAGACCCGAAAATGATTAATGCATGAACTCGGTAGGAAGTAAAAAAAAATACAGCAAGTAACTGCAAAAATCAGAAAGAAGGTATTTTTCGAGTCAAGTACCATTTTGAATACCCTCCTTTATTTTTGTAAGATGTTTATGTGAAATGTCAGTTGGTTCGAATAGGTATTTGATTTTACTATTGATAAGTATATTATTTTTATTCAGAGCTCGGAGGAATTTAAATATTTTATATTTGTTAGATTTTAAAATCATTTAAGAGTTAGAGTTTGGGGCTCAGATTTTTCTTTCAGTTTACCAAAGTATTTTGTAAGGGTATTAAAAGCTTGGAACTTTACCCATCCCTACCCTACTTTTCCTGCCCATTGTGATGGCTTGTAAACCTGTGAACCTGTGTAGCAAAATGTCAGCTGATTATCAGAGGAGGACTGATAGGGAAGGTACTCTGCATACATATGTGTGCTCGTTGGTTATTAACACGCCACGTAAACCGACAATGACGTAAGACCGACGACGTAACGAAGGAAATACAAATACCCCAGGACCATCAGGGCTGCAGGTTATGTGAGTATTCAGTGTGTGGAAGTGGCAGATCCTGTTGGGAAAACCGGAGACTGAGCGAACTCTCGACACCCAGCAGGCAGCCAAAAGCGGAACGAACATTTCACGAAAAAGCAACCGGAGAGGAGTATTAGCAGAAACGGGTAATTAAACTAGTTAGGCAACTAATAGAAGGGACAGTGAGTAAAACGGTTGCGCACAAAGTTGGGTAACTACTCCAGGGTAATTGAAAAAATAATTGCTAATGCATTAAAGTATCTCTATGTGGGGTAGAAAAATAAGTGTCACTTGTATTAAATGTCTGTTTTCAATATGTTTATTAGAAATAAATTAAGGATGATAAAAGATGAAAAATAATATTAAATGGTAAATATAAATATATATTTAAATAGTAACTATAGCTACAATAATCTTGAATTTAGATTATTATTTTTATCAAAAATTAATTTTAAAAATTAAATAGAACAACAGAACTCTTTTCCAACTAGTAGTTCGAAATATTTAAAATGTTTATCCGCCGCAAAGACATTAATATTTGAAACATAATTCAATAAGAAATTAATATGATCCCTTTTTAATCGTAAATTTAAATTTAAATTGCTTGTCCGATAACCTCCTTTATACCCTATGTTTCTTGAGGGAGCACAGAGGCTCGGGCCGAAGAAGATGCCCCGTGATAAAACTGCGGAAGTGGAAAAAATGCCGATAGCATCTGCTTGGGGGAGGAAACGAGGGGAAAGAAACCGAAACAGGCTACAAAGGAAGCGGGAGAATGTTTGCCCAGGCCAACTCTCGTCCAGGAGTTGGCTTTTTGCGTATGCCTAACACACGCTGTCTTAAATAAGGAAGCTGGCTGAATTGGGGGAAAGCTGTTATTCACCTGTCTACCCACGCACAAGGACCCGCCTCAACAATTTCCCGGCATATGTGGCTGGGTTGAGGCGTTTTACATCGTAACATGGAAGACATAAACGATTTGGCTGACTTTTGGAGGGGTTTGGACTGTGGATTGGGTTAACCTTGTCGCCTCCACCTGCATTGCGAGGAGCATCTGAGCCCTGCTGTCGAGTTCAGCTTCCGTTCTGAGGCTTCTCGCAAGGAAATCGGTTTGTCTTCCGGCAGCGACATCCCTTTGCTCCTGCATTTCTATGATTTCCACCAAGTCAACAAAAACGGGAGCAGAGGTGCGCGTTGCTCTGGTTAACGAGCTGAATGGAGTATCACCAGGTCGGGGAATGTTCTTTGCCATGCAGAGGTATGAAAAACGACATAAAGGTTAAAACATGTCATGTCTACAGGAGGATTATGTGAAAGAAGAAGAACTTTCAGAGAACAAGTATCGGTAATCTTTTATGGAAATTTTTGTAAAATGAAAAACGTCTTTACTTATATTTATTTTATTTTCATTTCAAACTAAATTGTATTTTTCATTCCGGAAAATACTCTACACTAAATCTATCCCTAGCGCATTCTTCTCAAAAATCTCTCAAGTAGCAAATCCATTAAAAATTTCATCAGGCTTTATCCTGAAATATTTTTCTAGAGCATGCTGCGACCCCAAACAATTTGGCTTATCTCCTCGGAAATCGCTAGAGAAGATGACACTTTATTTTATGTTATTCCTTATGCAGGGCATGTTTACCTCAGCCCACACAACTTTCTCGGTCCAGAAATAGAAGAAAACTTTTTTGCCCTGGTTTAAAATGTCTTGCTCAAAACACTGCTATGTCATTTTTTAAGCACGACAAAATTAGCGCAACGAACTCGCCCGTAAGTATGCTCATATATATTTTTCGTGTTTACGTGTCGTATGCGTAATGTGCCAAGTTTTCATCTCGCGACCGGCTTTTTTGCAGACGTGCGCTGGCAGGCATTTCGGAGTTGAAAGTTAAGTCGTTTAACCTACATGTGAGCCCCAAGTACTTAGCCAGATTTGATGTCAGCTGTGCCACATTTGCCAACTTCCCACAGCATGTAAGCAATTACATTAAGCATACGCACTGTTGCCCTCGCGAAAGAAAACACCGCTTGCATTTGTTTTTTAATGTTTCCATTTATTGTTTTCCTTTTGTGTTGCCTCTCTAGTTGATTTAAATTAAAAATACACTTTAAATCATTCATTTTGTGTAGGGTATACAAACAAATATACAATATTTAGTTTGTTTTTCCTTATTCATTTTAAATCATTCGCGTTTTGCCAGCCATTCAAATAAAAATATACATATTTATGTGAAAAAATTGGATCCCAATTCAATTCGGTTGTCTGTCTGTGATAAAAAGCAAATAAATTTCCCTTTGAAAACTTAAAATGATTTATGCATTCGGAATAGCAACCAATTGATGGTGAAACACAAGGGACAATCCACTTTTCCGCTTTGCCTACAATATTTAAATATTCAATACATTTAATCAAAATTTTCACGTGTTTTTTGGCCTTCGATAAACATTGAAATAATATTTCTTTCTCAATATATACACATACGTATTTTATATAGTTGTCAATGATTTTTAAATGATTTCACTTAGGTGTATAATTAGAACTAATGATAACATTTCATGTTTTATTTTAAGTACAAGGTTGAGAAGACTCTGAGCTTGGGTAACTAGGATTATTTGAAACGGACCATATGTGGCTACTAATTTGTGGCATTTTCGTATAGATCGTAATTGACTTTAATGAATGTGTGCTGTGTGAGAATGCAAATTAGTCGTAGTTTACGTTTTTTTTTATCAGCTGCCAAAGGTTATATATGTTAAAGTATTATTTCATTTTCATATAGTTTTTATACATATACAAAAAATTAATCAGTCTAAGTACATTTTTTGTATGCCCTTTATGTTGGTTTTTTTTATGTTGTTTAGGTAGCGTTTAACCTTAATCAGTTGATTTGATTTGTAAACTAAAGTTGAACTTATTCCATATATATATGCAGTTAATATATATATATATATAATGTGTGTTTGAGTGTGTGTTCCGTTCAGCAACAAATCAACATAGATAAATCATTACAAGTACACAGTACAGTACACATACAATCCGCATCGCGTTAGGTAGGCTTCCTCTCCTCCCATCAACTTGCACATATATCACGACCGATCTGCATTATCCTCCGCTAGTTTACTCGAAACCAAGACCTCTTCCTCACGCGTACTTCCCGAAGGACCAGCGTTGCGTTCCCAGCGCCGAATTGCAGTGCTGGGCACTCACTCCCTGCTGCGACTGGTCCCTCGAGTCCAGGCACACGTTGATCTTGTAGTGCCGCACCAGACCGCCCTCCCGCATGATCCACCGTTGGTTTTCGGAGTCGTCGCAGGCTTTTAGAACCACCTGGGAGCCCCGGGCGAAGGTCACCAGGGTCAGGCAGAGGTCGTCGTGCTTGATTTCGCCGCGCTTCGAGAAGGCCCACTCCTGATTGCCGCCCGTGTTGTGGCAAGGAAAGATACCTACGGAGATTACGGCAGGGAATAAAAATATATATAATTTAAATTAAATTAGTTTTATGGTATACCAGTTTATAAAACTATTAAAGAAAGGCCATAAATTATGCAAAAATATATTTTAAATCTGCAAAGCCTATAAATTCATACCAAAGTTCAACGTTCTTTTTTCATTGCATATTTTTAGACACCTTTGTAAATGAAAGCCACTCCAATTTATTAAATTTAATCCCGCTTAATAAAAACTTGCGTAACATTGTGGGTCTGTAAAGTATGTACTCACCCACAGTGCCGTCGATTAAGTGGCCCATCGTGTCCAGGCACTCCGTGCCATCCTGTCGGAATTGGCCCACCTCCTGTGGGTCGGGGGCCTGCAGGTCGGGATAGACATTCTCCAGATACCATTTGAAGGGCTTGCAATGCAATTTCTCTTTCAAAGCCAGACGGTCATCAATGCTGAGCGAGGAGAAAAAAAAGGGAAAACAATGTGAAATAAATAACTTGGCTAAAGTATGTTAGGCACTAGAAGAAGAATTCATGTAGAAAATAAAGTAGCAAACATTTTGAGGAAAATACTTAAAGAATAAAAATAATTTTTAAAACTTGTCATTATTACAATTTGATAACTATCAAAAGTGTTAACTCCGAATAATACCCATTTCTATCTCTAGTATTTTATAGTGATATATAAAATCAAGCAACTTTTTTTTTGTTGCAGAACTATAAACCAGATTTGAAGCTGCTTCTGGAGCTTTTTAAAACTGACATTTACGATTATTTGTCTACACATTTTATTGAAACCCCTGATTTCCCTCAGTGTACTCACTTGCCGAAGGGAATGTTCTTGGCGAGGGGCACGGCATTGTAGTAATGCTGCTTGTAGTCATCCATCCAAACCTCCGCCGCACGTCGCGTATTCCTGGCGAAGACATTGCCGCTGCCGCCGGGGAAGGTGTACGGATGTCGTTTGCGGAAGACGTGACCCACCCGGCTGCAGGGAATGATTTCCAGGCTGCCGCCGCACTGCCAAACGCGGAACGAGATCTCCAGATTCTCGCCGCCCCACACGTCCATTTTCATATCGTACTTGCCCAGCTTGTTGAAGTAGGCCTTGTCGATGACGAACAGCCCGCCGGCGATCATCGGTGTCCGAATGGCCGTGGTGGGGTCATTGTGGCGCATCGCCCGTTCCGAGGGACTGAGATACTCCCACTTGAAGATCAGATTCCAATCGAAGCCGCCGCGCAAATCGGCGGAGGCCCCAATATACTGGAAATTATCCATGCTAATCACATCGATGACGGGACAAACGACACGGGTGGGATCCTCGCGAACGCGTTCCAAGAGCGGTTCCAGCCACATCTCGTTGCATTCCACGTGGCTGTCGAGGAAGGTTAGCACACTACTGACCGCCGCATCCGCACCCTTGACCCTGGACCGCACCAGACCCTCGCGCTTTTCATTGCGAATCACCCTAACTTTATCGATCTTAGCCAGCTCGAGACCATCCTCAGCTAAAAAGGTAAAGAAAATAATTTAAGATATGTTAGGGAAATTGAAAATATTTTATAAATATTTTTAATATTAATTACATATTTATAAAAGTAACATATCCACTTACGATGATCACTGTAGTCGTCTACCAGAACGATTTCGCGTATCAAGTGCTCGGGACTGCGATTGAGGACACTCACAATGGTTCGCAGCAAAGTGGATCTCGCCTCGTTGTGGAAGGTAATGATGACACTCGTCTCGGGCAGATCCTCGCGGTACTTCTTGGTCCGGCACCTGGGTTAAAAGGTAATCCAAGCTTAATAATATTCCCTTTCAAATGGTATTCCTTGAAACCTACATGGGATTTCTGGTGTCGGGTATATCACGATTGCTGGGTAGAGCATCGCTGGCTTCCTGGTTGAACCTATTTCTGATGTACGGATCTTCGCCATTGCGCAGGGCTCCCGCTCGAATGTAGCCCGCCTCGTTAAAGTACTCGACCTCGGTGCCCCGACCGCTGGGAGCCACTGGTAGTCGACCACCTGGTCCACCGGTTCCTCCACTGAGACCCTGAATATTGAGGATAGAGAATTTTATTTTATTGCTTTTAATTTCAAAATGTAACGAGACCTTTCGGGTGGAAATTGGTATACATGATTAGGCTAACGTGGAATTTTATGTGATTTGTGGAGAATAATCATCTTATCGCTTTCATTTTAGGATATTATAGAATTTAATTCTTATTTTAAAATACATTTTCTGAATCCTCACCTGTGATGTCTCTTCCAGAGCCACAATACCATTCAACTTGAGGCCGTGGACCGCATTGCGCTCGAAGTCCTTAACCGAGCCGATTAGAATGACATTGCCGCCGGGATCGTCGGCCCCGCTGCCAGCTGCTCCTGGTGCTACTCCCGCTCCTCCTCCACCTCCTGCTCCTCCCCCAGCTGGCGCCCATTGGCGGGCAGTGGAGGCTGCGGCCGCCGAGGAGGAGTCGTCCTGGTACTGCTGCATGGCGGTGGCCACCTCACGTAGCCGCAGCGCTCGATTTTCCACCTAAAAGGACACAAAGTCCACGAGGGGAGACAAGTGTTTTAATTTATTTCTTTAATCTGCGCCACATTGGCGACGTTGAAGCCCGTTCGGGGCAATAACTCAACTCAACTGGGAGCAATTCCCATACACTCACAGAAGTTTGAATTAAGGTACCACATCAAATTATTTTGCTTCTTAAATTAACCTAGTAGGTAACTTTTTTCTACCTTTTATTCTCAAGAAAAACTATTTAAAAACACTTTCTCTGAGTTTGTAATATTATTCACCCCACAAAAATTCACAATATAAAATTTGGAACGAAATTGTTTTTCAAGTGCAAAGTCAAAATGAAAAGGGTTGGGGTTTCGTGCAGGTTTATGGCAAAGTTTCACCAAAGTTTGAGCTCAAAACACAACAGAACAGAACAGAACAGAGCCAAAAGCAAAGCATTGCGAACAGTTTTCGTGTTTGCTTCGAGATTAATAATCTATAAATTGCAAATGTTGCCAGGAACCGGGAACCAAAAGCCCAGGCCACCGCCACAACGACCCAGTTTAAACAATGTCCAAGATTTCTCGGCGACAATTTTGCTAAAATAACACGGAAAACCTTTTAGGAGCAAGGCCTGAAACATTTGCACCCAGAGACAAAACTTTTAAAGTCTTTAAAAATAACCCAGTGCGCCCAAGACATGATATGCATTAATAAGTAGTGAAAAGGTGACCTCTTTAAGTTCCTTAGACATTTAAAATCTTGAAACTCAATTGGTTTTAGTTATTGGCTTCAATACAAAACCTCGCCCTTAAGTAAATCACAAAGCCCAGACCTGACAACTTTGGATAAGCAAACAAAAAAACGACAATGTGTCTGGTTCTTTTAAAAATACAGACAAAGCAAGGACAACAATGTCACTCAGCAGACACCGAAATAACCTTGAGACCAAGCGTTATAATACTCATCCCAATCAGACTGAAGAAAATTGATGGCAGTCCTTACTTGAGGACATTTTGGGTAAATAATTTACAAGTGCAAACACGCTGAAGCACGAAATATTGTCGAAATCGAAGAGCTGTCGGGTGAAATCTTGCATGTCGAATTACTCTATGCATAAAAAACTCATAAAAATATAATAATGGGTAGCTTAGTGTTGAAAACGCCTTTGAAATTGTTGCTAAAGGGCAACATGTTTTCAGCCAAACGAATGAAATGGGTTAAGACCCACAAAAGCAGGCAACAAAGAGCCTGAAAATAACGGTTCCACTTAAAATTAAAATCACGCATACGCAGCAGCGTGCAACACAAAGTGCCAAAGTCAGCTGAACAAAAAAAAAGCGAAAAGAAATCGCTTTCAATACGTTTGCCACACATAAATCAGAGTTAGAAGAGCCTCCCCGATAAAAGAGCTCCTGACAAAACTCTTGACAAATAGATTCAACGCAAAAGGGCAATTAATAACCGACCCGGGGGCCATGGAACCCGAATCTCCTTTCAGGACCCTGGAAATTGGGTCACTGTTTAGCGGAGTGAAATGATTCATTTGTCAATTTAGTTGGGTCACTTAGCCAGCCAAGTAGGAGGAAAAGTGCCTTCGAAGGAATCGTAGCAGATGTTGAACACTTTTTTGGTCTATTGATCAAGTTGGATTTGGCTACACAGAAAGAATTAAAGAATACAAATAAGTATATCCATATTGAGTTCTAAAATTCCAATTACATATTTAAATATTTATTATAAAACGTGTAATATTACAGGATTTAATTGGAAAATATTTGAATTATGGTAGAAAATATTATTATTAATTAAAGAAAAGAATTTCATATAAAAATCTAATTTTAAAATGTTTAAATTTACTATATAGTTGAATTTAATATTTTTATTGCGAAACATATTTATACTCAATATTAGATCTTTTGATTTACTACCTTTTTATCAGTGTAGAAAAGCCCGTTTTCAAGATTGGAACCATGTATGATATATGCCAATAAAGAATTTAATTTTCGTTTACAAGGTAAATACATGTTCTTAGAATTCCGTTCCATGGATCAAATATCCAGTGCACTCACCTCCGGGCAATATGGCTTTAATTTCAAGGCCCCCCCTGCGATTTCTGATTCAAAGCAGACTGAGTTTCATATTGCAAACTGCTCCGAGGGTTGGCAGGAATATCAAACTGTGACCCAAAGCCTTTCACAAATCGCATTACGCATACGCAGCGTAAACAGCAAGGCAAAACCAAGATGTGTAAGCCTGGAAGCTAAGTAGATGCCAGGGGAAATGCATTTTGGCAGGAGCCCATTCATCGAAGTCAAGCGAGCTGAGTGCAATTTCGAATTTCAATGGCAGCTTAATTAGTTTCATTGTTTAAAGTGCAAACTGCGTACATTGATTGGCCAAATCGCAATCCGCTAGTCACTTAACATTACTGGTTGGCCAGCGCTAGTTAATCACAATTTCGACTCAATTTTCAGAGCTATTTTTATCACACGACGGCGGCCGATTTAAATGCAAACTTTCCTCTTCATTTTCAAATTTATTTGTCCTTTGGGTGAGACAGGCAACTCCCTTTGCAAACCGTATCTATTTATGGAAATCCTCGCGAGAGTAATGACTCAAAAATTATGCCACTGACGTCAAGGGAAAGACGAAACTTCTGGCTGCCCACTCGAAAAAAGGTCAAAGTCAAGTCACCAAATCCTCCACTTTGAGCTCATCAAATTCTAGTTTGCTCGTTGGACTTGTCATTAACTTTTGGCAAAAAACTATCATCAACTTTGGCGTCAAGCTAAACCAGAGCAACAAGTTTGTCGTTATTTTTGGTCATCTCTGGGTTTATCGCTCGAGTTCAATGTTTTCAGCCAAATAAAGAAGAAACAGCAAGCAGAAAAGCGAATTGTTTTGAATTGAGTTCAGAGCCATTGGATGGCATTGATTGCTTTTTTGTTTGGGGTCACAGAGAAAATATGAAAATTTCGATAAGATTTTTATGGCGTTATGATAAAGCTGGTCTTTATTTTGCCATTTCTATGATTTGTGTGTGAGCAGAGCAAAGATAATAAACTATAGAAGACAAACTCAATTAAAGAACAATAAATAACTGAAGATTTTAATGGGTTTCGGACGAAGATTATTTGGAACTTGTTTGTTTTTAATACTTCAGCTGAGCTTAGCAGGCCCTGAATAAGTCCTCTGTCTGATCTGAATAGAATTTCTCACAATATATGTAAAAGTCCGTGAGAAACTAGAAAATACTTTCAAAATTTATAAACCTGCACCATTTGAGAATGGCCAACAATTCGATCAACCAGCAAGTTCAGGAGTTGCAGCAGAAGTCTGTGATAGATTCTCCACCGGGCATGTCCCCCAGGACGGAATTCTCCACCGGTTCGGTCATCAATGAGATTATCTCCCAGGCAGTTCCGATGGTAAAGCAACCACCAGCTCCACGCATCTCTTTTCGAGCTCTGGCCAGACTTGTAATGGTTCTAAACTCAACACTGAAGAAGGGATCTTTAGTAAACCCGGAGCCAAAGAACATTGATTACTGGCGTAACCTAGCCGAGTCCCGTGGAGCGGCCAATAAACGCTATCAGCTGGTCGTCGACATGCAGCGCAAAAGGATCGAGACCCTGGAGAAGGATCTTCGTAACCTGGTCAACTTGGCCCGAGAGACCCAAAAGATGCTGGCCGAGATGGGAGCCGAGAAGCGGGCCAGCCAGGAACTGGGTCATGGCGAACATGCCGATTAGATTTTACATCATTTATACTTTCGAACTTCCTTTGGAATCTTTCATAAACCTATAGTTAATTTAAAATGGCGATGGTCTTTTATTCTTTATATTTTTTAATTACGTCTTGGCAACAGCTGGGCTGTATAAGAATAATTAAGAATATCCCAAGAATAGTTGTAAAAAATCTTGCATTTTAATCTTTATAAAAGCCAACTATAGAGGTTATTTATTTTGTTGACCCATTAAATGTAAATATATATTGCTAATTAAAGTTTTTTTTTAATTGAAAATTTTCATTTTCTAATTAGTGACAATTTTGTGTGTTTCCCCATTTTCTTTCATTGCTGTTTTCTTTCCACAATTTTAATTTGCTTCTACAATCTGACCGTGCATGTGCTTCTCCCCCTAATTCACTCAACCTTAACCAGTATTTGGTTTTATTTTGCTGTCTGTTTGTTTAGACGAGAGATTGGAGCGGTGATTTCTTTAATCTCGACTGGGGCTTCGTGTTTTTGCCACTTCTCCATGCTCTGAGTCTGACTCTGAATGTGTGCAGTCTTCCAGCTGAATGATTTTCACATCGAAAGAGCTCCTAACTGCATAATTTAGTAATTGGAACGTATCAAATTTAGTTTTCACCAAAACAAGAAAATGCGAAGCAACGAAGAAACAAGCGAAACTTTATCACTTATTGCAATCTGTTTCGGTTTTTCCATTTCTGCATTACAAATGAGGGGTTTTTTTCTTCGGTTTTCGGGGCGCCACACCCGAAATGGGCCACCTCGAAAAGCTCAAGAGAACAACAGAATTCAATTAAAAGTCTCTGCACGCCATTCGAAACGAAAAATATTGACAAATGCTCCTTCTGCCGACAGCCAGGCAGAAAACCCAAAAAACAACCAAGTCAAAGTGCCCATTGAACTCGAACCCTGATAAAAATTGTTTATGCCACATGTCATGGGCCCAGAAATCTTGTTATTCAGTTCTTTGGCCAATAAAGTCTGGCCTACTCATAGCAAATGCGGTAAAAGTTTATTTCACCAAAAGGGGTTTCCCATTTCATTGAAATAATCAAGCATGTTTTCCCAGAAAGTTTCATTTAATATCATACCTTTTTGGCAGTACCTAAGTCAAATACCAAATATATTAATTTAAACAGAAAAGGAAAATTTATTGATATTGATATCTATTTAAATAAATGCTGTTGATGTTTAATAAATATTTTAAAAAATTTAGAATATTGAATTTAAATCAAAATTATTAAACCGATCCATACTATATTTTTAGAAATTCAGCTTTCGGCAGTTTTACTTTCAATAATTTCACTTTTTAAGTATTAAAACATTTTAAGCTTACTTCACTCAAGTTTTTAATGATTGATTATAAAACTGAGGACTGCTGTTGGATAATTTCGTAAAGCATCAAAAGGAAAGAAGATTTCTATCTTCTCTTAATGACATTTTGTGGGCCAACATTAAAGCAGAGTTTAATGTCAACAAGAAAATGGTAGACAAAGCCGAAACTGCTGATGAGTCGATGGCTAGACAAAGTGGAAAATCGAGAGAAGTACTCAACAAACGAACCGTGAAAGCGGCTCGAATCCTCAGCGCAAACAGAAGCATAATTATCTGTTATGTTTGGCCAACACCAGCGATGGATTGACCCAACAAGTTAATGGGAAAACTCACATGTGGCCCCCGATTTTCCGCACACACACCCTCGATTTCCTCGATTTCCCAGTTTTGGCCGAGTTGATAGACGATTGTGCGATGTGGTGGCAACTGCAGTTGCGTTATGCAACTCTTCTGTGGCATGGAAATGGTGTGCCACGATGCCATGCCAACCAAATTGCGGCCGCATCAGCAGCAGCAACAATTGCAAATTGTTTTGGTAGCAAAATTTGTGTGGCATCTTCGTTGTCTCCACAACTTTTTTGTTTTTAGTTTATTTCTTGTTTTTTTTTTTTGGTTAGCTTCCTCATGACAGCAGCTGCAGTTTGTGGCCAACAAGTTTCCTATCGTCTTGCAAAACTCAATTAAATAAATATATAGTTATTTGTTTTTTGCCCGGCTTTGATCTTCCTTTCTATTTCTGCTAAGGTCAGGCCGTAAATCTGCCAGCAAAGCGAGCTTACAAAGTAATTTTTATTGGAACTATTCGAAATGTATGGAATATTATATGGTTCCCAATTATGGGGAGATTGCTTTGCAGATGGTTAACAACCATCACTATTTGGGATTTATTATCAACGGCAGTAAATGAGTTTTGCAAGGTTTACTTTATGACATTAGGAAGAAGCTAATATTTAAACACCACTACTATTTTTTAAAGAATTACTGTTTTTAAAACCTTCAGAAAAATGTTAATTTGTTAAAATAATAGCATTAGCTTAATCAGTCCTTAGACCTCGAGACAAAAGTTAAATCGACCCAAGAAAGGACAAACCCTTTGTAGCATACAAAAAATTTAAGAAACTTTTTTTTTATCAGAGAAATTTACTTTTGAACCTGTATTATAAAAAGTCTAACCAACCTATAACCTTTTTTTATTGGTTACATTTTACTGTTTTTGAAATTATATTAAGCTGGAAGATGAAGCAATTATTATTTAAAACTATATTTATGGTGTGCGTTTGAACACTTTTAGTACCCCTTTCGGTGTTTTCCAATTAAAATGAATGCTTTGTCAAGTAAGTTTTAACTACATATTTCGGTGCCTGAGATCCGCATTATTGCAGGGGTTTCACGAGCATTTTGTGGAGCCGCCCCGCCTCTGGAGCATCATTTGCAGTTAGTGGTCCGTGCAGATGAAGCTGCAATAAATTGCAGGCTGCAGCCGGGTGGCAGCTGTTGCATGTTTGAGGTTTCGGGCCTGTGTGTTTGCGGATGTTTTGCGTCCAAATTGCCACTGTGAGTGACTTTGCCTAACTGCCTAACATAACATAGCATAATGCCCACAAGACAAGGAGGCTTCTGTACTTCGGTTGCGACAAGAGATCTCTCCATAAAATGTATTGAAGTGCTTTGCATAAATTTAAGGTCTCCCAGGCGTCGAGAGTGGAAGCCAAACAAAGCCATATTGCACTTCGCCACGCCTGTGAGCTTAACCTTTGACTTTCCGATAGAAAGAAGAAAATCAATTAAGGCCAGCTTGGAAATTAGCCCGAGAAATTCACGCCTTACGTCCATTAACGCACTTTATAATCAACTGGTGGCCCCAAATGTGGGTCATCCATTAAAGCGGACTTGAACCGAAGTCATTTGGACAACTATAACAAATTGTGGATATTGCTCTTTTTTCCTTTGCTCTTTCTATTATGTCAGTTTCTATCTGTCTCGGTTTGATTGTTTTCCATTTGGTCTGGCTGTGAATGGGTGACTCATGTAGTAGTCTTTTCAATGATTAAGCACAAATAGGAGTCCGGCAGCTGGTAACGCCCTCGAAAGAAGGAACATAAAGAAGACATGCAGATGGGCACAGTGGGTCGAGAAAAATATCAGATATAAATAATATTGATATGAAATAGTCACCAGTTACTTTTAATAATGTTGATAAAATGATAAAAATTATTTTACTGGTAGGCATCAAAATATTTTCATAAATTCCCTTTCCATTTTCTTTTATTGCTGACTTTTTGACACTTTTTTATGTAATTTCTTTCTTGGATAACCTTTCAAGCTGTAAACCACACTAACAAATATTTTAGTATTATGATATTTAAAATTAAAAATGTCTGCGCTGCCTTATACATTATTTTGTGACCATTTTAGTAACTTTTCAATAAGATACTTAACATTAAAGTTTTTACGCTTTATTATATCTTATTTCTAACAATTTTTGGTACTGTGTGCGATTGGGAAGGCCGGCACATGTCATCAGTCAGGCTACAGTGAGCTGATGGTCACATGGTCTACGTATGGGATGTGGCTATACAAACGCATGCAAAGAGATACATTCGAGACAGTTCAACAATCAGTTGATGGATGCACTGTTTGCAGAGGGTCGCTGGGTGGGACAAATTGCCAGAAGCTGGCGACAATCGGAGCAAAAAAAAATAAAATACATACATAGATGGAAAATAGAAACGACAACTGTGGAGTCATTTTAATGAAGAGAATTTTATCTCGCTTCTGGTTGTAGTGGCTTTTTTTTATTTTAGACAGAAATATTTGCTCCGGGTGAAACTAATACAAAATGTAGATGACCTCAAAGCCATCGGTCGTCGGTCACTGCGGTCTTTATTTATTTGCACTCGAAATTGCTGTTCATTCATTTCAGTTGGCAACGTTTTAATTAGTTTATTAGCAACATCGATGCGGCTAAATATTGAACCGCATTTCAATAAATGAGCCAATAACGATAATCAAGCGGATTAAATATTTAAAATGGCGCATTGCTGCTGGTCAATTGTGAAAGAGATTTATTTGCCAATTCAGCATGCAATAATTTATTATTTTTCAAAGAGAGGTCAATAAAATCATTTATGAATTAAATTTACAAAAGCTTGTTAGGTGGAAACATGGCAACATATAATTAAATAATTCGATAAATTTCAGCATTTAAGCAAAGTTAAATGATTATAAAATTTATAAAATTTAAATTAATTTCATCTGTTTAAAGATAATTTTTTACATGGCGACAACTTCAACACAAACCAAAAGCAATCCCGGTTAAATGTTCGATGTTTGCCCTTTCCACCCGTTTCAAAAACAAACCCGCACAAAAGTCAAGCAATAAAAAAGCAACATCTACAACTTTTGGCCATATAAAAAGGAGAAGCAAACCAGAAAAAAATCGGAGGTGAATGCCACTACTTAAGTGGCTGGAAATGTCCGAAAATCGCAGAGTAAAAAAATTTAAGACGCGCCTGGAAAGAAAACCCCGTCAGGCAGTTTTGGTATTCAGTTGTTGCCTGCGAGGAGATAAAATAAAAAATAAAAACGAACGGAATACGAACGGTTTTGCCCGACAATTGGAGACAGTATTACATGCATTTGAATTGTCTTCGGTTGGACTTTCTCGTTTTGTTCAATTGTCTGCATTTGCCGTTGAAACCGGTACTTTCACTTGCCTGGGCTTGGAAA